TTAATCATGTCTTGCACTATGGGCACAATCTCTGCTGTTATCTGAGAAATTATTTCTGATTTCATTTTTTCCAGATGATGTTTTGTTGCCAGTTTACAGAGTCCAGGTGATTGAGTATCACATTGTTCCATCTTGTTTCCCTTTGGGGTTGCTGTAGGTGATCTGGAAATCTGTTTTTGAGGCTTGTTTATGTGTCATTTCCATGGGGGCGGGGTGGAGGCGGTGCTGCTGGTGCCCATGTGGCTCACCTCCTCTGCCCTGGGAGTGGTGGAATGGCAGTCGGGGAGCCTCCTCCTGGGTGCTGGGATTGGCTCACCTTCTCTGCCCTAGGAGTGTGGAATGGTGGCCAGGGAACCTCCTCCTTGGTGCTGGGTTTGGCTCACCTCCTCTGCCCTGGGAGTGGTGGAATGGCAGCCAGGGAGCCTCCTCCTGGGCACTGGCCACACATTCTTAAATAACGACAGGGATATGTTCTGGCAGCTCAGTGGTTAAATGAATTGGTCGCTAAGAAGAATTGTTTCTAGTATGTACAGTACAATATTCAGAACAAATAAATTGTCAAAGGAAACTCCAACCTGATGACTTTGCTTTTATTTGCATAACACTTACATGCTATACTATAATGTGTAACAGAGCATTAAACTACAGTACTGTATAGTATAGTACAATCAGCAAAAATTACAGTATTATACTTTAGAAGAAGCCACCATAGGGCTGCATTGTAGCTCACATTCCTGCACTGAAAGTCTGAATGTGGGTTGTAAGTCTGAGCGGCAGGTAGTAAGTCTGAACAGTGCATCTTGGTTGTTGTTAAATGTGCAGGTTGTTAAACAAAGAATATCTGTATATCAAATGGTGGTAAGTGATATGAATCAAAATAAAGATAAAAGAGATAGATAAAGAGGAGCATCTTAACATAGGGTGTAAGGGAAGGCTTCTCCAACAGGGGGCATTTAAATAGAAACAATACACTGCACCAGGATTAATTTTTAGATTGTCAGTAAATTATAGTTGAAGAAAATTCATTTTATTTTTAGTCTTACTCTTTTGCATTATAAGGCCACACTGATAATGGCTGTTAGGATTTGTTTCTTGTAGAAAATTCAGTCAGATAAAGAGTTCTTGAATATCTCTTTTAGTATAGTTGAAAAATGTTCGACTTACAGTGTTTTAATAATTTATGCTAATGTTATCTTTGACTCATTTTTTCTAACTATAAATTTCAGAATTGATAGAGCCAAAATAAATCTAGACAGAACACTGAATAAAAGAATACCTCCATTACCAGAGCCTGATTATCCTTCAACTGTAAGTTGTTTTCTCTTTTAAAAATGTATCCTTACATCATTTTAATTTTTAATTGAGTCAGTCTCAATCTAATTAATTTTTAAAAATAACATTTCAGATTATTTTTGATTTTTTAAAAATTTAAAATTTACTTCTTGACTTAATTATATTTTATTTGTTTGTTTTGACAGATGACCAGTGATGTTAAAAAAAAAGGAGTGAGTTCAATTTTTTAATTTCCTGTTGAAAAATGTTCAAAGAGGTTATTAAAGTTTTTTCTAAATCTACCGGTTAAATCCCATCCTAGGTTATCTCAACACTGATATAATGATAGTTATTTATCCACTCTACAAATACTTACTGAGAATCTATTCTAGGTGCTAGAGATATAAAAGAAAAAAAGAAAAAGGAAAGACACTGACCATATGGAGGACTGTATGAGACTGATTGATGGAAAATGTGATTGATGGAAAGAGGACATCATGTAAAACTTCTTTAATAGTAAAGGATACAGAGACATGGAGCTGGTTACATTTTATGCAGCATATTCCCAGACAGGACTTTAAGTTTTCTAATTCCCTAAGGTTTTCTTTGGTGATAGAGGGTTGAGGACAGTATTTCCTCATGTTTCCTCAGTATTTCCTTTTATTTATTTTATTTGTTTTGAAACAGGGTCTCACTGTGCAGTTCAGGCTGGCCTTGAACTCATTATGTAGCTGCGGCTGGCCTTATACTCACAGTAATCCTCGTGTCTCAACCTCCCAAGTGCTGGGATTGTAGGAGTAAGCCACCATGCCCGTCTAACTTCCCTGTGAATTAAGAATACATGGAAGAAACTCCTTTTAGCTAATCAAGGCTTTTGGTTTTGTTTTGTTGATTGTTTGTGGGTTTTTTTTTGGTATCAGGAATCCAACTGAGGACCTTGCATTTTCGAGGCAGGCAGCGGAACCACTGAGTTAAATCCTTGACCCCTGGTTTTGTTTTTTAAAGTGCCATTCTTCCTCCCCCTTTATCTCCAAACTTTCTAAAGAATGTCTCTCTGTTAGGTGTAAAAAACCCCATATGTGTGAGGCTGGGTAAATTGTAAGATGTATTTTAATGTATGTTTAGCATTCATACTGTTCCTCTATAGTTCTTGCTTTGTAGTGACTTGCAGTTGTAAGGCATGAAAATAGTCTTCACTCCTGAACCCACTCCTCTTGGGAATGTGGCTTTTAGGAACTCCACTACTTCATCATTGATATCACAAGTGACCACTGTTTGCCAAATCCAAAGGATATTTTTTTCAGTCCTTCTCTCTAGAGCTTCACTGGACTTTTAAAAATCTTTTTACTTTAAAATATTTGGTCACATGGATCAGTGGAAGAGTAGAAACTCAGAGCTGGGGATTTAGCTCAGTAGTTCCACTGCCTGCCTTGCAAGTGCAAGGTCCCGAGTTTGATCCCCAGTACCAAAAAGAAAGAGTAGAAACTCAGAATTAGTCCCACACTGATATTTGAAAAGGTACAAAAATCATTCATTGGAGGAAGGATAGTCTTTTTAACAAATGAGGTGGAGCAATTGGACAGTTATAAAAAGCAAAACAAAATTCTTATTGTAAACCTCACATCTTACACAAATGTTAACCAAAAATTGATCAAAGGATAAATATAAAATGTAAGACTGTATAAAAAACTTTTAGAAGAAATTACAGGAAAAACATAAAATAATATTTTCAGAAGAAAACAGGACTAGAGAAAGTTCTTTTTTTTTTTTGAGACAGTGTCTCTCTCTGCTGCTCTCAAACTCACTATGTAGCTCAGACTGGCCTCGAGCTTGTGATCCTCCTGCCTCAGACTCTGGAGTGCTGGGATTACAGGCATGAGCCACCATGCCTGGCAAAGAGTTCTTAAGCATGACCTCAAAAATACAATTTATAAAGAATACCAATAAATTGAATTTCATCAAAATATAAAATTATTACTCAGTATTAAGAGGATGAAAACCAAGCTATGTAGTGGGAAAAAATATTCACAAATCACATATCTAACAAAATACCTGTATCTAGAATATAGAAAGAACTCTCAAAACTCAACAGTATAAAAATGAGTAGAAGACATGAATAGACATCTTACCGAAGAGGATATATGGATGGCAAATAAGCATATGTTAATCATTAGGAAATACAAATTAAAATCATGATGAATTTTTACTGTATACCTGTTAGAATGGTTGAAATTTTAAAATGACAATTCCAGTTGACTTTAATAATGCTGACCATTATTCCTTTTCTTATATTCCTTTATATTTATTTTTCTGGCTCTAATAATTTCTCTATCATCTTTATCAGTTCTTCCTTGTCTGCCTATAGTTACTTAGTTCTCTTTCCTTTAATTTTCTTGGAGGATTCTCTCCATTTCTGATTTCAAATACCTTCATATTGTGATAACTTTCAGAGATTTTCATACACAAATACCTCCATGACACACTTCCATTCTAGTTGTTATTATTACTTTGCAATTACTCATGCTTCAAATATTATTTTCCCCTCCTGAACTACCCATTTGTCCTATATAATTAGTCCCTACATGCTGTGAATATTGATCAGATCAGTACCATTCTTGTTTTAGTAAATTAGATCAGAACTTCATCTCTTGTCTTGACAACAGCCTTCAATGGCTTCCTGTGTAGAATTAATGCTTAATGTGAGACACAAGACTGCCTATAATGTGACCCTTGCCTCTTTGCCAGTCACACTGTTCTCTCACTATGCTGTGTACTACACTTTATGCATCATTATGGATTTGCTTATAATTCCTTAAGAAAATAGAATATTTTTCTTTGGTGCTTTTGCCCTAGTATGTCTTCTGACCGTCCATGTTTCCTTTTACCTGTTTGTCTCTAACTTAGCTCAGCTATCACTTCCAGAAATCCTTCTCCTATTCCATCATAAATTTACCATCTGAACCATTTTTAAGTGTACAATTTAGTAGTGTTAGGTGTTTTCACATTGTTGTGCAAACCAATCTCCATAACATTTTCATTTGCAAAACTGAAACTGTATACTTCTTAATTAACAACACCCCATTTCCTCCTCCCCACAGCCTCTGGCAACTACTCTTAGTGTTTTGTTTCTATGAATTTAATGAGTCTAGATACCTTATATAGGTGGAATCATACAGTATTTTTCTGTGTGTGTGTGTGTGTATATGCTGGGAACTGAACACAGAGCCTTGCTGATGCTAAGCATATGCTCTATTACTGAACTACACCCCGAGTCAGTATTTTTTTGTGTGTGATTGGCCTATTTCACTTAACATATCGTCCTCCAAGGTCACTCATCCCCTAAATTTTAAAGGCTTTCTTTGTACTTTATCTGAGATGTATGTTGCAGATATTATCTCCTAGATCAATTGTCTTTTGACATTATTATTATTATTATTATATCTATTTTTTTTTTGGTACCAGGGATCGAACTTGGGACCTTGAGCTTGTGAGGCAGGCAGCAGAACCACTGAGCTAAATCCCCAACCTTTTATTATATTTTTCTTTCTTTCTTTTTTTGGTACCAGGGATCAAACTTGGGTCCTTGCACTTGCGCAGCAGGCAGTGAAACATATTATATTTTTCTTTTTTTTTTTTGGTACCAGGGATCGAACTTGGGTCTTTGTACTTGTGCAGCAGGCAGCGAAACCACTGAGCTAAATCCCTGGCCCTATATTTTTCTATATATATATATTTACTTTTATGTAGTCAGAATTTATCACTTTTTTCTTTTGTAAATCTGGAATTTGAATCATAGGAAATTTTTCCCTATTCTCAAGTTATAGAATACTTTATTCTTTTTTATCCCAAGTCCTTGTATAGTTTCAATCTGTAAGTTTAATTTATGGTCTGCTTGAACTTTATTCTTGTGTATGCTGGGAGGTATGGATTTATCCTTTCCCTACATTTTTTTCTAGAATTATTTATTAAAATATTATTTTTTGCCCCAATAATTTGAAACATGTTCATCATGTGCTAAATTTTCTGATGTACTTGTATATTTCTTGATTTTTTTTTTTTTTTTTTTTTTTGGTGCTGGGGATCAAACTCGGATCCTTGAGGTTGCAGGGCAGGTGGTGGAACCACTGAGCTAAATCCCCAGCCCTATTTCTTGATTTTTAAATTCTTTTATACTGACCTATTTGTGTACCTATATCACTTGTATCAATTATAGAGGCCTTTTAGTATGTTTGACTGTCTCCTAGGGCCCATCCTCCACTATAGATTTTCTCTCTTGAGATTTTCTTGATTATTCTTGCATGTTAATTATCCACAAGAACTTTAGATCAACTTGTCTAGTTTCATAAAAATATTGTGTAGATATTTTTGTTGGAATTTGGAATTGTGTTCATTTTGGGACAAACTGAAATTTTCATGATGTTAAGATGTCTTTACTAAAAGTAAGTGTTGTTCACATGTATTTTTTGTTAGACTCTTCATTCTTATGAAAGAATTAGGGAAATTATACTCCTGCTTGTTTGTTTTTTTATTAGTGATACTAGAGAGTGAACTCAGGGCCTTGTCGTTGAGGTACATTCCCAGCTCTTTTTATTTTTTGAGACAGGGTTTTGTTAAGTTGTCCAGGCTAAGCTTCAATTTGAGATCTTCCTGCCACAGCCTCCCACGATGTAGGGATTGCATGCATGCACCACCATGCTGGATTTATACTATTATATTAGAATATAATTGGGGTAGGGGATTTAGCTCAGTGGTTTTGCCTCCTGCTGTGCAAGCGCAAGGACCCAAGTTCGATCCCCGGTACCAAAAAAAAAAAAACTAAGGATAGATTATAATCTGTAAGAAAGCATGAGGTTTGTCTGTTTTGTTTAATACTATGTACTCAGCATTCAGAACAATGTTTGAATATTTGTTGAATTAATGAATATCTGTTAAATGAAGGAATAATATGTTAAAGGATTTTTGCTTTGCCCTGAAAAAGTTTTGAATCTTTGTTTTGCCCTGAAGAATATGCCAAGAATGTTAATTTGGCAAGAATTCATCACACATTAAAAAAATGGATAAAATATTTTCTTTGTAGGAGATATATTTGGGTAAAATGGTTTTTATTTTGAAAACATATACTTTTTGAGAATATTTTTATTCTAGGAAAATATTGTCTTAAGAAAGGAGAGCTCAGGAGTTATACTGAAATGTTGTACCACTCAGAACATTTAATTTTTTTTGTGTCCTCAGTTGAACTATAATTACATGAAGCAGTGTGTGGAAAGTAGTCCTATCGTGCCTATTCAGCAGGAATGGCTGGATCACATGCTAATGCTGATACCTGAGCCTTTAAAAGAAGGGAAAGAAAGAGAAGAAGTGCTTGAATGCCTCATAAATGAGGTGTCAAGTGACTTTGAAAAAAGCATGAAGAGATGTTTGGGTAAGTAGCATTTAACACGCACTGAGCTTCTTTTGCCTTTGCCCTAATGTTGAATCAAAAGTAGAAGCAAAATGAATACTGAATATCATGTATTTAAACTATGTATATTTCCTAGATATTTCTTTTACTTAAGATTTTATTCTGAGCCTATAATGTAGTCAAAATCTCTGTGATTTAAGGCTACTTACTATAATTTTTGTGTTTATTAGCTAATATGTATAGCTTTTTATTTTTCATTTTGTCTTTATAGCTTTAGCTACCCTATTTGCAGTATTGTTAAGAAATATTAATATATTTTGGAAGATTTGTTAGCAATTTAACTTTGTTTTTTAAAATTTTATTTTATTGGTACATTTTAGGTATACGATATAATGACATTCATCATTGGAAATTTGTACCTTTACATAATCTCTCTTGGTTCTTATTTTTACCCCGTTCCCCTGGCCTCCCTTCAACCCCTCCATCCCTCCCTATTTACAAAGACTTTGTTTCCATTTATTCATTTTCTCATATTAATTCCATTCCCTTCTTTCCTTTCCCCTACCCCTCTCACTTCCCCTTCCCCTTTGCCCCTTTTCTTCCTATTTCACATTATCTATTATATCTTTTAGTCCTTATTTACACTTTTAGTTTCTCACACAGGAATTTAACTTCTGATTTTTCTAAGGATAATTCTTTTCTTTTTTAATGGACAAAAATTGCATATATTTATCATGAACAACATGTTTGAAATATGCATACATTGTGTAATGGCTAAATTGAGCCAGTTAACTTGTTCATTATCTCATGTATTTATCATTCTTTTGTGGTGGGAACACTTAAAACCTACTCTGTTAGCAATTTTCAAGAATAAAATACATTGTTTTTCACTACAATCGCTATATTTTGTACAATAAATCTCTTGAACTTATTCCTTCTATCTGACTGAGATTTTATATCCTTTGACCAACATCTTGCTAACTCCTTTCCCTCACTGCCTCTGTAATAACCATGAAATAAATTCATAAATGGATATGCCTGACTTTTGAGTAGATAGGATGCAAAGAACTGAGAGTTAAGAGCTTTTCTGTATCTTAATGTACTGACAAAGTATGGCCCAAATAGTATTAACAGCTTGATTTTGTTTCAACTAAATAAGTTTTTTCTTATACTCATTTCAGTGTAGTACTATAAACTATACCATCCAATATAAAAAGACACTATTTTGGTGTGTGGTACTGGAGATTGAGGGCCTGAGTGCATGCTAGGCTCTATCACTGAGCTATATCTCCACTCCAAAAGGTTAAGAGACTTTGATATGGATAAATATTGCAGATTTTCAAGAAATATTAATATATACATGTATTTTAGTGCAGAGTGTTCTTGTGAAACCGCCAGTTAAATGGCTTGAAGATGGTGGATCCCCTTTACCTGAATCCCCTGTGTAAGTAAATTATTTTAAAAACAGTATTTCATTTATTTATTTATTTATTTATTTATTTATTTATTTATTTATCTATGGATTGAACAACAGGATTTTATTTTCCTGCATTTCTGGAGTTTAGACATCCCAGATCAAGGTGTTTGTGGTACTGGTTTCTTCAGAGGCTGCTCCTCTCAGCCATCTTCTGTCTGTGTCTTCACATTGTCTTCCCTCTGTGTCATTTAGTTTTTAGTGCAGCTTGGAAATGAACTGATCTCAGTTTCAAGTCTACAGTTGTGAAGCTCAAAAGTATTTTTGAAACTTAGCTAAAAAACTCCAAAGGTTTTCTCTACTCCATGCTTGTATAATTCTGTTTATATACATACACATATACATATACATATACATATACATATGAATGTCCAGTTCAACTTGTCCTTGAGTAAGCTTTGGTGTATGCCAGAGAGATTTTTACATCCTTTCTCCCTAACCCTAAAGAATATGTTCTTTTATATTTGTGTTTGATAACTGAACCAGAGCAGAGTAAGAATAAGTAAGACACTGAGGTTTGAATGTGTTTTTTTAGTAAAGGTGTATCTTCTAAGGCTCCCACTGCTGACCACAGTTTCTTCCCAATCCCCACTTTGCTCACTTTAATATTAATTCCATGCCATAAACATAATTTCATAAAATATAGGGTTATTATTTTAATCATGTTTGATAATTGTGTTTTGCTTTTTCAGAGGACTAGATTATTCCAATCCTTGGCATTGTAGCTATGTGAAGGCAAGGAATCAAATATTATCTACTTTGCACATTGTTCATCCAACTATGAAAATGTTACTGGACATTGGTTATACAACATTTACTGATACAGTTTTGCTGGACTTTACAGGAATTAGGTAAAATCCAGTGTTTATTAATTGATATTTAAAATTTGAATGTCTCCTTGTCTAGTATATATTTTTCTTTTTCTTTTTCTTTTTTTTTTTTGGTACCAGGGATCGAACTTGGGTCCTTGGGCTTTCGAGGCAGACCTTGGAACCACTGAGCTAAATCCCTGGCCCGTCTAGTATACATTTTTGATTGTATAATTTTTAAACTGATTCATAATCTTTAAAACATTTCTTTAGATTTTAGAATTTTAAAAATGTATCTTTTTTCAACAGTGTGTATCAAGACCAAGATCTGTCATTTGTATCAAATTATTTTTCTTTTCCTCATAAATAGAGCTAAAGGCGCAATTGATTGTGAAACACTGAAAAATGATCTATCAATTCAAGCTAAAAAGGCAGAAGAAAAGATAATGAACACATGGTATCCAAAGGTTATAAATCTCTTTACCAAGAAGGAAGCACTAGAAGGCATTAAGTCTGAAAAATTGGATGCATTTTATAACTGTGTTTCCACACTCATGTCAAATCAGGTAAATATATTTTTTTATCTTAAGTGATAACTTTGTTAAAATTAGTTCAGTATTTAGTTAAATTAAATTAATTAATTAATTTATTTTTTTGTTACTGGGGATCAAACTCGGGTCCTTGCGCCTGTGAAGCAGGCGGTGAAATCACTGAGCTAAATCCCTGGCCCCAGTTCAGTATTTTAAGTAAGATTATATTTAAAAGGGCCAGAGATTTAGCTCAGTGGTTCCGGTGCCTGCCTCACAAGCGCAAGGTCCTGAGTTCGATTGCCAGTACCAAAACAAAACAAAACAAAAGATTATATTTAAAAATAGTACTAAGTAATTATTTTATAAGTTTGAAATATTTTTGTTATAAGTTTATTTAAATAAATTTAGAAAAATTGTTTCTGAAGCAGTCTAAAATGGGAAGGGGCTGGGGATAAAGCTCAGTGGTAGAGTGCTACCACGTGTGAGGTGGATATAGTTCAGTGGTAGACTGTGTACCTAACATGTGTGAGGCCCAGTCCTCAAAAAAAAAAAAAAAATACTATACTGGGCCACTGATTTAGCTCAGTGGTGCTGTGCCTCCCTGACAAGCATAAGATCCTGAGTTCGATCCCTGGTACTGGGGGAAAAAAATGCTATACTGAAATGAGTTTTTATTTGTATGAAATAAAATTGTGAAATTTTAATGTGATTATGGATATACTGAAAACTATAAAGGTAAGAATTTTTAAATGAGTGGGGGTTTTTTTGGTACAGGGATTGAACTCAAGACCTTGTGCTTGCGAGCCAGGCACAGTGCCACTGAGCTAAATCCCTGGCCAAAATGAGTGTTTTGAGGCAGGTGGCCCGTACTACTGAGCTAAATCCCCCAAATCTCTCTCTCTTTTTTTTTTTTTCAAAATGAGTGTTTTGAAGGGAGAGTCTGTGAGAGTGATTTCTCAGTGTACTACTTATTTCAATTGATAGGAAATTAGTGCTTCAAAAGAAAATAAGTATTTTTTTGTTTTTTTGTTTTTGAGAGAAAGCCCTGCTGTGTGGTTCAGGCTGGCTTCAAAATCATGATGATCCTCCTGCCTCACCCCGCTGAGTGCTGGAATTACAGGTGTGCACCACCATGCCCAGCTAAGGAAATAAATCTTGATGAATATTTAAAAAATAAAGTCCTCTGGGTGGGTGAGAGCATACCTGTAATCCCAGCTATTCAGGAAACTGAGGCAGGAGGATCACAAGGTCGAGGCCAGCTTGGGCAACTCAGTGAGATCCTTTCTCAAAAAGAGTGGAGATATAGTTCAGGGCTCTCTGGGCTAAATTCCGAGTTCTGTAAAAACCAAACCAAACCAACCCCCCCCCCCCAAAAAAAAAAACCCAAGAGTCATCTAAATTGAAACAGAAGTCTATGGCCATAGCACCCTGAATGTGTCTGATCTCATCTAAATTGAAACTGAAATTTTAACTTATGGCCAATACTGAGTAGTTCTCAATAATAGTTTTTTAATTTTTTCATTTTTCCTCAAAACTCTCCTCTGAATTTTGAGTTGGTCTTTGTGATTGAATCCTTACATTCATGTTCAAAGACTTTTTTTTTTGGTTTGTTTTTTGAGACAGGGTCTTGCTATATAGTTTAGCTGGTCTTGAACTCACTATGTAGCTCAGTCTGACCTCAAACTTGTGGCAATCCTCCTGCCTCTTGAGTGCTAGAATTTAAAAAAATTTTTTAATTAATAAATTTTATTTTATTTTATCCCATTCCCCCCCTCAAGACCCTCCTCACCCTATGTACAAAAGCTTTGTTTCCATTTTTTCCTTCTGTTTTCACTTAAAACAATTTTTTAAATGAGAGGAAAGTCTAGAAATATGAATGATTACTTGGCTCACGATTAAAGGCAATAAGCTAATTTTCTATAGTTTTATCGGAGTATGTTAATATAAGGACCATGTTAGTAAATACGTTTTTGGAAATTACTAAATTCCAAGTTAATTGGTACTTATTTTGTTGTCAGTAAAGTCTTATTCAGAATGTTATTGATCATCTTTAAATGCCAGAGTATTAATTTTGTGTAATTGACTTAGGAGAGCCTTAAATTTTTAATGTTGTATATGTATAGTTCTACAAAAAGTTGGTTTTTTTGGTTTTTTTGGTACCGGGGATCAAACTCCTGTCCTTGCATTTGCAAGGCAGGCAACAGAACCACTGAGCTAAATCCCCGGCCCTACAAAAACAGTTTTAAGAAAAACTTTTGTTTTTTGGTGAGGCTCTCCAAAGATTCCATGAATTTTGCCTTTCATATTTAAAAGGATAGTATACCTATTTAATAGCTTTGTGTAACACTGTAACTAATATATATGGTTTGCTTTCCACCTTTACTGTCTTAAGAGAACTAGGATTGTTTTGTAAGAAGTAAAGAAATGAGTAGAGTCATATTTTAAAGATCATTCAGATCCATATTTGCCTGCTGCATTAAGTTTTCAACAGTTGGGTCTATATAAAAATGCATTTTCATAGTTAGAAACAGGTTGTGCATATTTCTAAGTTCCAGTAGCTTTATTTTCATCTAACATCATGCAGGAAATATAGCTCCTAGAGGAAAAAATACCTTAGTTCTATTGTTTGATGATTTTTGTGATATAATGAATATGTGGTATAAATAACAGTAGATCTCAAATTTCTAAGGGTTTTGAATTGGCTCCCAGAAATTCTTGAATATTTAACAACTGGCTCTTGTGACAAAAGGAACTAGTTCTAGTACACCATACCCCATGTGTATGTTGCCCTATTATATGCTCACTTTTAGGTGTCAGGCCAGCTTTACTCCCATTCTTCACGTTTTCTCTTCTGAAATATTTTGTGTGCCAAGGAAAGACTAAATAAAGAATATAGAAAATTCTGCATTGGCATTTTACATTGTTGATATTCTATTTTTAAAATTTTGGTTTGCATATTATTTATTCTATTTATTGTTTTAGACTATTTTATTAAGAATATATTGTACTGAGTGCCGGGGACTTAGCTCAGTGGCACCGTGCCTGCCTTGCAAGTGCAAGGTCCTGAGTTGGATCCCAGGTACTAAAACAACAACAAAAAAGAATATATTGTACTGAATGATGATAATTTCCAGACTGAATGGATTGATAGAATGTTTTCATTATACACAACAAATTACTGATTTTACTTAAAGGGTGAATTTGTAGTTTCTAAAATAAGTTATTTATGATGTTATGCAGATAAAGGATGTCTTAAGGAGAACTGTAGAAGGATTTGTAAAACTGTTTGATCCAAAAGATCAACAAAAGCTGCCAATATTTAAGATGGAATTGACATTTGATGATGATAAAATGGAATTTTGTCCTACTTTTCAAGATTTGGAAGATGTTATTTTAGGTTTGGTAGAGCGAATAGCTGAAGTTCTGCAGGTATTACATCATCCCTACATATCAGGTTTCTTTTTATGGCTCTATTTCAGAATTTTAAGTTGTTTGTATTGAATCCCTATGAAGTGTTTATATACATAAATGCTCTTTATTTTCTTCCCCCAAATTATTTTAAATTAGAAAGTACTTTTTCTTTGAAAACATCTCCTGTTTGAAGATGATATATTCCTTCTCTTGTTTTTATAGTCATGAACTGATATTTTTATGCATGTCTCATCTTCCTTACTGAGGTGCAAACTTTTTAAAAACAAGGTCTAATATTTTTGTTCTTTCTAAAGTTCACTAGCATAATCATGTTGACATTGTAATTAATAAATGTTGAATAATAGAAAACTGACCCAACCTGTTGTTTTGGAGTTTTTTGGTTTTATTTTGTTTTTTGTTTTTGTTTTTGTTTTTGTTTTGTTTTTGAGACAGGGTCTCACTTTGTACTTCAGATTAGCCTTGAACTCACTATGTATCCTAGGCTGGGTTTTATTTTTTTTTCCCTTTTGAGACAAGGTCTCACTATGTAGCCCAGGGTGGCATTGAACTCACAGCAATCCTCCTGCCTCATCCTCCTGAGGACTTGGTACTACAGGTGTGCGCCACCATGCCTGGCTCCCAGGCTGTTTTGAATTCACAGCAATCCTCCTGCTTCAGTCTTCCGAGTGCTGGAATTATAGGCATATGCCACCATGCCTGGAAAAACTTGGTTTTGTATTGGACTACAAACTCTTATATATTATTATTTTGTGTTGCATTATCTTTTCTTGGACCAAAGAAGTCTGTTAAAAAATATAGTATAAGATGTCCATACAGACTGATTGCACAGTTAGATATTTATTATATATATTTTATTTTCATTTGTTTTAGAACATCCAAACAGTACCCTCTTGGTTATCAGGAACTTCAACACCTGTAAATCTTGACACAGAACTTCCCGAACATGTGTTACAGTGGGCTCTTAATACCCTGAAGGTGGCAGTACATCAGAACTTAGAAGGTGCAAGAAAACATTATGAGACATATGGTATATATGAAATTTTTAATGTTACATGTCTTTTTATTATTTTATTTTAAACTAAGATTTGATCAGATATTTGGTTGTCTGAGACTGCTTGGAAAGAGCTGAAGAGCCAGAAGTGAGCATATATTTGTTTGCTTTTGGCATAGTGAAGGATCAAACCTAACAAATTTGAATTTTGTTGCTTGATCCAAAGGGTGAATGTTAACTGAAGCAGGGTGGTAAAATCAAAGAGTAGAAAGAATAGATATTGGAATAAGGAGAAAACTAAATAAATGGTAAAAATCAAGGTAATTTCTGAGAATAGTTTTGCAAAAGCTGCAGCTCAGTTTATTGGTCTCTTCAAGTGTGTGTATGAGATCAGGATGGGTAGTTGTTGTTTGTCTTTTAACCCAAATCATCTATTTACTGGCATATCTGTACGTCTAAGTTATTTTAAAAGCCTCAGGTAGTCTATTAGCTTCATTTAAAATTTTATTTAATTTGATTTGCTTATTAAATCTTTTTTCCTATCCATTCCTTTAAATGTAATAATCCATGTATTAATAACTGAGTAGAGTACCTATTGTATGATCATGTAAAAAGCACTTTACCTTTTATTGAGATTTTAATTAGATTATTAATTTTCAGTTGAAAAATATAATTGGCTCCTTGATGGGACTGCAGTTGAGATGATAGAGGCTTTTCAGGCAGAGGATCATACTTTTGATGAATATACAGAGGTAAGGGGTAATTTTGTTTTTTATTAATGCTTTTAAAATTTCTTTTTAAATTAGGATATTTTTATTCTACATATATGTGCTTCAATTAAAGTAAGTAATTTATTATCTGAACTATCATTTTAGCAAACTCATTGATTCATCTCATAATTTCTTTAGGCATTCATTTACTCACCATTGATTTAAAACAATTCCTTATCACATTCAGGCACCTAGTAAGATGCTGATGATGCAAAAATAAATAATATGAGTAAGATGTTTGTGATACAAAAATAACTAACACAAAAAATATTTATCTTTAGGAGACTAGATTTGGCCTCTGGGAGCTTGACAGAAATAACAACTATGAAATACTGTATTGAGATAAATACTGTAATGGAGATATGAACAAAGTGTTGTGGGAACACATGAGTCAAAATGATTACTTTTGCTTTGGGAAAGTGAAGGTCTCATGTAAGAAATTAAAAGTGAGCTAGGCTTTGAAGTAGACATTTGTAGACAGAGAAGCAAGGAAACAGAACTTGAACAAAACCTAAAGTATTCAAAAGTGTTCACAGAACAGCCAGTAAATCCACATAGCTAAAGAAGGGGTAACAGGAATACAGTAGATGGCAGATTTGGAATATGATGAAGTTGGAAATGTAAGTTGGAGCCACACTGGAAAATCTTGCTCAAGAGTTTGGCTTTGTTCTGAAAGCCTGACCTTTATTTTGTCTATATCAGTTGTTCATTCCGTTTTATTCCTGAGTAGTATTTCATTGTATGGATATACAATTTGTTTATCCATTTGCCTTTTGTTGAATATTTGGGTTGTTTCTAGTTATTGGTTATTATAAGTGAAATTAGTATGGTGTTTTACTTACAAATCTTTGAGTGAACATGCTTTCATTCTTCTTCCTAGGAGTTGGACTGCTGGGTGGTATGAGTAATGTATGTTTAATTTTTGGGCTGGAGATTTAGCTTAGTGGTTCTGCTGCCTGACTTGCAAGTGCAAGGACCTGAGTTTGATCCCCAGTACCAAGGAAAAAAAAAAAGAAACTGATTTTTTAAAAGTTGTCATATACTTATACTTTTATCAGCAGTGTATGAGACTTTCAGTTCTTCTGCATCCTTTCCAGTCTTTGGGATTATCAGTCTTTTTTACTTTAGCCATTCTACTCTGTGCATTTTCATATTTCATTATGAATTTAATTTGTATTTCCCTGATGCCTGAGGATATGAGTATCTTCACTGTGTTATTTCTCTCTCCCTCTCTCTGTCTTCCTTTTTTTTTTTGTTACAGGAATCAAACTCAGGGCCTCATGCTTGCCAGGCAGGTGCTGTGCCACTGAGCTGCATTTCTGGCTACTGTGTTATTTTTCATCTGTGCATTTTTTTTCAAAATGAAGTGTCTGTTCTATAGTTTGCACATTTAAATTGGATTTTGTATTTTATGGTTGAGGTATAATGAATATATATATCATTGTAATAATTCTTAGTATTGAATTTTAAAGGTTCTTTGTATAGTCTGGGTAAAAGTCCTTTATCTGAAATATATTTTATGAACGTTTTCTTTCAGTTTGTTTCTTGACTTTTCGTTTTTGTAATGATATCTCTTAAGGAGCTAACATTTTAAATTGTAATGAATTCCAGTTATAATCTTCTTTTAAGGTTCATGCTTTTTGTGTCCTATGAAATCCTCCTATTCAGTGATTATAAAGATTTACTTCCATGTTTTCTTCTAGAGGTTTTATAGTTGTAGCTTTTACATTTAGATCTGACCCATCACAAATTAACTCTTTTATATGATGTGGGAGGGATATGGATTGTGGTTTAATTTTTTCTATGTGGATATCCAAGCTACTCCAGAATCATTTATTGTAAATATTATGTTTCTCAATTAAATTGTCTTGGCATCTTTTACTTCTAAATTTGTAAGTCTGTTTCTGAATTACCTATTCTTCTCCATTGATTTATGTATCTATTCTTATGTAAGTACCACAGTCATGATTTTCATAGTTTGATTGTAAGTTTTTAAATCACACAGTGTAAATTCTCCAATTTTGTTCTTTTTCAAAATGATTTTGACTATTCTAGGTCCTTTTCATTTTCATAAAAGTCTTAAAATAGCCCATTCATTTTTAAAGAAATCAGATGGAATTTTGGTTAGGATTGATTACATTGAATCTCTGTATCAGTTTGGGAAGAATTGCAGTCTTAAAATTGAATCATTCAATTTATTACCATGGTATGTATTTCAAATGTTTTGGACTTTCTTCACTATCTTTCAACAACATTTTGTGGTTTATATTGTCCAGGTCTTGTACATATCTTGTGAATCTATTGTTTTTATTAGCAATTTTGATTTTCATTGCTAACATGTACAAACACAATTTTTATATATTGATCCTTTATCTTGACACCTTATGGTTCTAACAGCTTTCTTTAAAAGATTCTTTAAATTTTTCAATATATGTATATCATATAAATTGCAAATCCAGATTGTTTTTGTTTTCCCTTTTCTATCTAAATGCATTTGTTTATCTTGCTTTGTTGCACGGAGTAGGGTTGCCAGTGCAGTGTGGAGTACTAGCAGTGAGAGAGATCATCTTTATGGGAAACATTCAGATTTTTTCACCATTAAATATTGTAGACATAAGTTTCTCAGTAGATACCTTTTATGAGGTAGGTGAAATTCCTCTCTCTTCTAGTTTTGTCAAGAGTTTTGTTTTGTTTTTGAGACAGGGTCTTGCTATGTATTCCAGCCTGACCTTGAACTTACTATGCAGCCCAGGCTGGCTTTGAACTCATGGAAATCCTCCTGCCTCAGCCTCCAGGGTGTTGGGATTACAGAAGAGTGTTGTTTTTTTTTAATCATAGGAGGATGCTGGATTTTGTCAAATACTTTTGCCGCATATATTTGAGTTGATCACATGGTTTTTCTCTTTTTGTCTGTTAATATTTTGAATTATATTTATTGATGTTTATATGTTAACCCAATGTTGCTTTCCTGGGATAAACCCAAATTACTCCCAAAATGTAGTGGCTTAAAAATAAAAAGTTTGTTATCTCACATTATCTGTGGATCAGGAATCCAGCTAGGCTTAATGAAATGCCTTTGTCTCAAGGTCTCTCATAAGGTTACAGCCAAGCTGTCAACTGGGACTGTAATTTCGTTAAAGGCTTGGCTGGGAACAGAATCAGGCTTTCGAGTTCAGTCAGGTGGTTGTCGACAGATTCATTATCCCACAGGCAGTTGAAGTTCTATTCCTTGATTCATACATATTTAGGGTTAAATCTTGATGTACACCCATTATTAGTATGGAGTGCCCCTTTTATCCCTGAAAAAATTTTATATTCTGAAATCTTTTTTTCTGATACAAATACTCTCTAGCTTTCATTTTTATAAAGAATTTTACTGAAGTGTAATTCACATATTATATAAGTATTTAGAACATATTCACAGTTTCCATATGCCATATACCATAGAAACATCTAATTCCTCTTAAAAAAAAAGAGCACTCCATATCCTGTGGCTCTCACTTCCTAACCCAAGCACAAGCTGTAAACAACTACTCATGTTTTCTGCCTCTATATATTTGTGTGTGTTAAGTTTTCATATAAACTAAATAATAAAGTATGTTATCTTTTGTTCCTGAATTCTTTAATTTATCATAACATGTTCAAAGTTCACTCGTGTTGTAGCACATAGGAGTACATCATCCTTTTTATGACTGAACAGTATTCCATTTTATAGATATACAGTACTATCCCCTTGTCCATGAATTTGTTTTCTGTTTTCAGTTGCCTGAGGTCAACTGCAGTCCAAAAATATAAATACAATAAGAGTGTGTTTGTGTGTGTGAGACGGAAAGACCACACTAACATGACTTTTATAAATTAAGCCTTAGCATATATATATATGGGAAAAACATATATGTTTTGGGGTTGGGACTTTTGCACTTTCAGGTGTTCACTAGGGCTGTTGGAACATAACCTCTGTAAGATATCTATACCACAGTTCTTATTTATAAGTTAATACACATTTGGATTGTTTCTGGTTTTTTTAATATTGTGAATGAAATGACTATGAATACTCATGTGTGAGCTTTTGTGGGATGAATTCATTTCTCTTGAGTATCTGCCTAGGATGAGAATTGCTAGATCATATGGTTACTCAGTGTTTAACATAGTGAAGAGGATCACAGAAGAAATCAAGGAAGAAATTAGAGAGTTCTTAGAAACAAAAGATAATACCAGTACAATATACCGGAACCTATGAGACTCAATGAAAGCAGTCCTAAGAGGGAAGTTTATACCTGTGAATTCCCTCATCAGAAAAGCATAGTGAGCCCAAATAAATGACTTAATAGGGCCAGGGATTTAGCTCAGTTGTTCCTCTGCCTGCTTCACAAGTGCAAGGTCCTGAGTTCAATCCCTGGTACCAAAAAAAAAAAAAAAAAGAGAGACTTAATGATGCACCTCAAGGTTCAAGAAAAACAAGAATAATCCAAATTCAAAGCTAGTAAAAGGAAAGAAAGTATAAAGATCAGAGTGGAGATTAATGAAATTGAGGCAAAAACAAACAGCAGATTGGGCTGGGGATTTAGCTCAGCAGTGCCATGCCTGCCTGGAAAGCACAAGGTCCTGAGTTTGATTCCTGGTACCGAGAAAAAAAAAAATGGCAGGTTGAAAAATTCCTTAGTGAAAAGTTAGGTTTAAAACAAAAGACTTATGGAGACTAGAGATTAGACTCAGTGACAGAATGTATGTTTAGTGTCTGTGAGGCCCTGGGCTCAATATCCAGTGCATGCGCACATGCACACACACACACACACACACACACACACACACACAGATTTATGCAAAAATTGGAAAAATTTTAATCACTTAGCAAAATGAAATGAATTTATCTTTATATGATTAAGATTTTCAACATAATGTGGTTCTATAAAATCACTGATGAATTAAAAAAATCTATGCATTTTATTTTGTTTTTTTTAAGTTTATAGAAAAATTTTTCAGTCTTGCTTCAGAAATAATGCTTTTGCCTCAGTGGGTTCATTACCCTATGGTCCGTTTGGATTGTGAAGATTTGAAGACAGGTCTGACAAATAAAGCAAAAGCCTTTGCGAACATGTTATTAAATGACATAGCTTCAAAACATAGAAAAGAAAATGAATGGTAAGTAGAATTAATTATCATACTCAGAAAAATAGGGTCAAAAGAAATATAATAACTCTTGCTTAAAGACAAAAGATTAAAATATATAAGTAAGAATTGTACTTACCACTTTTCCTCCTTTGTTGCTTCCTAGGAAGTTTCCTTTGTAGTCCTACTGAGCTAGATTCTTTTTGGTCAATAAGATTCAAGATCAGTTTTGGGTTCTTTTTGGTTGATACTTGTATTAGTTAACTTTCCCATGTCTGGGACAAAATATCTGACACCTACAACTTGAAGAAGTAGAGAGTTAATTTGGTTATGGTTTCAGTCCATAGTTGGCTGGCTTCAAGGCTGAAACATCATGACAGAGGAAACGTGTACACCTTATAGAAGCAAGAAGCAGAGAGCAGGGGAAGAGCCAGAGAGGAAGGGGCAGGAACCAGATATAGTCCCCAAGGTCATCTTCCCATGACCCACTGCTTCCAGCGAAGCCTCACCTCCTCTTGCCCATTCAGCTAACTCACCAATGAGTTAACCCTTTGATGAAGTTAGTGCCTAACTAGGTTTTGAAACTAGGTTTTCTTTTTTGTTTGTTTTTTGAGACAGTGTCTCACTATGTAGTTCATGGTGGCTTTGAACTCACTATGTAACCCAGGCTGGCCTCAAACTTAAACTTCTCGGCAATCCTCCTGCTTAGCCTCCCAAGTGCTGGGATTACAGGCATGCACCACCAGGCCCAGCAACATGCAGCTTTAGACAGGGAATGTGTCCTGTGGTTTGTTTTCCCATTGTCGAAGCAACTCATCTTTAAATTCATTTGTTTCCTCTCTACTTCAAAGGAATCTGAGTTTGTAACTTCTGTAAAGATAACTAATAAATATATAACACCTACCACAGTGCCTGACACATGATAATAAATGTTAGCTCTTCTGTTTATTTGCCCAGAAGTAGTGTGAAAAAGTTATATGTTTTAGAATAAGAAAGACCTGAATTTGAATCTTGCCCTTGTCGTTAGCTAATTCCATAATTCTGGGCAAGTTACTCAATTTTCCTGAGCTCCAGTTTCCTGTTTTGTCAACTGTGAAGAATATCTTCCTTGCAAGTCTAATGTTATGATCGCAGATAACATTTGGAAAGCATTTAACACCATGGCTGACATGCAACAGTCACCCAATAATATTTTTAAGTGAATAAACAGCATATGAGTGTCAGCATATTTTGTACAAAAGCATACCGCATAAAAAGATATCAAGGATGGTAAAGTATTAGAACTTACACCCTTTTTTGAGAGTCTTGATAATCCTGCTAAGAGCAATGACAATGGCATAGTTAATACAAAAATGATTATATGTTTAATGTAATGTATATAATAAGTTAAAAATTATTGTACGTGTTTGGACTACATAATGATTACATTCATCATGAGTTGCTACATGTATGTAACACATCTTAATTCTTTTTATATCCCCTTTTCCTTTCCTCTCTTCCCCGACCTCCATCTCTTGTAAAGTTTTAAAATTTTTGTTGCAGTTGTCATTGTTTTTGGAAAATTCTTTCAGTTCTGTCAAAATAGCTATATCTTATAAACCCATGATATAAGACTACTTGAAAAGGGTTCACGTATCGTCCTCCATTTAGTTCATTTTTAATTCCTTCCTGTTTGAATTCCATACTTGAGATAGAGGAAATGTGAACCATGTGGTTAAGAGCAGGGTCATTATGGTTCAATTTAGATCCTGCTTAGACCACTTTACTCTCACCACATTGCCTCTTTTGCTGAAATACCTCTTCCCAGGGGACATGAATTCTGTTCTGTCAAGAAATAATGTCCCCAGGAGGATCATTGGTCTTTTTGCATTATCCACATTAATACATCCCTCCTGTATTTTTGATAATCACAAATTAACTTTAAAGCTCTGTGTGATCTGACTTCTGCTCATCTTCCCACTTTCATGCTAGGATCTTTCCTTTGGATTCATACTGGTCTATTTGCCATTCCTAATGTTTGCCAAGTTACAACTACCACAAGGCCTTTGCAAGTCTAATGTTATGATCACAAGTAACATTTGAGAGCTTTTGTGGAGGTTCTAGCAGGAGAGCGCAGCTATTTGCATACCCTTGACTGAGGAAAAGGTCCTCCTCTATCCAGGTGGCCGTCCTCTTCAACTGGGCTCACAGCTGCTTGGGAGGGACACACATGGTGCAGTGAGGGAGGAAGGAGACATCTGCCTAGCCAGCCAGACCAGCCAGACCAGCCAAACCAATCCTGATGATCAACGGGGTGACAAATGTTGCAACCAGATCACCTTCACATCCATAGAGATATCAGTTGGAAAGCATCTAACATCATGGCTGATAGGCAATAGCCACCAAATAAATATTTTAAGTGAATAAACAAGTGTATGAATATCAGAAAGTGTTTATCAGCATGCTTTGTACAAAAGCATAGCACACAAAAAGATAATCGAGGTTGGTAAAGTATTAGAACTCACCTCTTTCTTGAGTCTTTGACAATCTTGCTAAGAGCAATGACAATGGCATAATTAATACCAAAATGGTTTTTCTTGCTGAAAGCTCTTTTCGTCATATATTGATGCCTCACTTTTTTCTTCTCACCTTGATTTATGTGCTGCCCAAGTGAGGAGTTCTTCCCTCACCTTGGATATTGCTTGCCTGGAAAGGCCTTCCCTAGCCATTCTGTATGAAATAGTGATACCTTCCCTACACTTTTCCCCCTGACTTTGCTCTATTTTCCTTCACAGCACTTTCTAACTTGTGTATTTTATGCACTTTTGTTTCTCTCCTCAGCTTGAATGTAAGCTTTATTATAGTGGGAACTTGATTTTATTTGCTGATATATCTCTGGTACTTAGAAATTTGCATAACACATTGTAGGTGTTCAAATTATTTATTAAAAATGAATAATTCCCCCATATAATATAAGTGAAATATTTCCATGAACATAAGATTTATTTTTAAAATTGTTGATCATTTTTATACTTTTTTTTTGGATGGGCTTTTCCCTCTAAAATTTCTGGTAATGATATGACAATAGAGTTATTTTAAGGCACAGAAATACTATTTTATTAAATGAATTGTGGAATTAAAAATATATAATAATCATTTGATCTTTGACTTGGTATACTGTCATATTTCACAAGAGGCACTAATAATTCATGTATGTACTAATAATTATACTTAATGGTAAGTGAGAGTGTCCTATGTGCTAGAATCTTTGCATTCATTATTGCATTATAATAATCTAGTAAGAGATATTTTAACACCTTCATTTTGTGGACCTGTACTTAACAGATTTGCATAAGTTCACAAAGCTAGTAAGTAGCAACTGAGCCAAGATTTAGACTGTCTGTTCCAAGGTGGGCTCTAGGCCACACTGCTTATCTGGGTATTCAATAGAGTCGAAGAAATCACTTGAAAAAAATTTAGTATCTGTGATTTCACATGAAAATAATACCTTAATTTTCTAGATTTTATTGACATATGATGTATACTGGTTTATATCAGTTAAGCTTAAATGTATACCATAATGAACTAAGCAATTATTTTTAGGAAATGTAGTTCCTATTGTATAATCATAACAACACACCGAATATAATATTAATTACTATAAGTATAATAAAACAGTATTATATTAGTATTTGCAGTGAATTTGAAGCAATTAAGGAGCGTGCTTTAAAAGTCCCCGAGACTACAGAAGAGATGATGGATCTGATAGCTTATGTAGAAAAAGCTCGGACTGTAAGAATTCAAGAATTGGCTTTAAGGATTCAGGTAAGAAACTTTTACTTACATACTTTAAATGTTTTTTTCGTTGTGAAACATAATGTAAATACTGACAATGTGTAAAACATATATAGTGTTTATTGAAGTGACCACTCCTGCTGCTCTGCATTGCCACCTCCATAGTATATCAAGTGTCCATAAATGTGCAGATCTGTTTTAAGGCATTCTGTTTACCTCCATTAGGCCTTTTGCCTATCCTTGTATTAAGACTACACTAATGTCAACAACTAAGTGATAATAGCGGTAGTACATTTATTCTTATTCTGTTTATCATCGAGTTTTTTTCTTGTTTTTGGTCCTTAGCATTTTCATATAAATTTTAGACTTAGGTTTTCACATTCTGCAAAAATCTATTGAGATTTTCATTAGGAATATATTAAATGAATGATTGAGAGAATAGAGTTATTTACAAAATGAAGTCTCCCAATTTATGGTAAATCTTTTACTTATCTCTTCTTTAACATTTCTCAGTGTTTTATGGTTTTTTCTGTGGAGGTTGTACTCATATTTTGGGGTTGTACTCATATTCGATATTTTTTCAAGCATTAATATCTTTATGTTATATTTGATAGCATTTACATTTTTCATCTTCTGTTTGATTTTAGAATACAAAAATATAATTTATAAGAAAAATTAATAGATTTGATTTATAGAACAGTTTTGTTTTTTTAAATTTTATTTTTTCTTTTATAGAACAGTTTTAGATTTATAGAAAAATTGAGGAGTTGGTACAGACAATTCTCCTAATATGCTCCTTCCCTTCTCCCACTTAGTTTCCCCCACATGCTTAGTTTTCTCACATTAAACACCTTACATCAACATGGAACATTTGTTAAAATTAATAAACCCAATATTGACACATTATTGTTAAATAAAGTCCATAGTTTATTGGGATTTCCTTAAAAGGGGCATCATGGTAAATTTTTAGGAAAGGTACATTATGGGGGTATGTAATGCCCACATTTATTTTTTAGGAAAAAGTTTTATTGCCAGTATAAAAGTACAGTTGTGTGGCCAGAAGCCAAGTAAATGCTACAGCTATTGAAATACCTTTGTCATTTGGGCAGTACATAAAATATAGTTAATAATCTGAGTCACACTGAAATTTGAAGGAATCTTAGAGATTGTTGGTTCTTGTCTTTTTAATAAAGCCTTGGATTTTTTATTTGATGTGTTATATCTAGAGCTTCTCTTGTAGGAATCTAAACATCAGATGAGCTACTTTTTAGATACTTTAATATTTCCTCAAGAAGCCTTAACTTTAAATGCAAATGTTCTCCTGTGGCCCAAGAAGATTAATCCTATCTTTGATGAAAATGATGAGGTAAATATATTTTTCAATGTTTTTTTATTCTGACATTCAGTTGTGCACATTTAATTGCCGTACTACTTAGCATCTACCTTTAAAAACTTCATATGTCAGTATAAGTTTGAGTCTGGCAAAATTTATAATAGGCTTAGGATAGGCTTTTGGGCTTAACTCACAAGATTTAGTAAGTAGGGTAGATGACATTAAAGAAGTCATAGTTACTATGTGTATTATTAATACTAATTAAATTCAGTACCAAACTAAATACTTTTCTTTCTTTCTCTCTGTCTGTTTCTCTCCCTCCCTCCCTTCCTCCCTTCCTTCCTTCTTCCTTTCTTTTTTGAGACAAGTTCTCACTCTGTAGTGCAGGCTGGCCTTGAACTCACTATTTAGCCCAGGCTGGCCTCAAACTCAAGGCAATCCTCCTACCTAAGCCTCCTGAGTGCTGGAATTATAGGCATGTTCTACCACCCCCAGCTCTCACTTATTAAAACTTTAAATATTCATAAAAATTCCAGGAATTCCTATTCCTCTATTTTATAGGTGAGAAAAATTTTATAGATGAGAAATGAAGCAGAGAAGTTGAATAAGTTGCTTAATATCACAGAAATAAGAGGTAGCAGATTTAGATTTTTATATCTAAATGTAGTTTTGTATCTGATGGTATTTCAAAATTGAAAAAGGCCTAGTGTAAACCAGTGTATTCTACAACTGGAGGTAAGATAGATGTCTTAGTTACTTTCTCATTGCTGGGACAAAATACCTGACACCCACAAGTTAAAGAAGGAAGGGTTTATTTTAGCTCACAGTTTGTAGAGGCTTCAGTCGATAGTCAGCTGCCCCCAAGCCAGAGTGGTATGGCAGAGGGGATGGCAGATGAGAAACAGTTCATGGCAGGGTAGCCAGCAAGCAGCAAAGCAGCAGAATCAAGCTTCCTTTTCCCTTTTATCCCATCCAGGCCCCAAGCCTGTTGCTTTGTACCATTTACACCCAGGGTGAGGCTTCACAGTATCCATACCCAGAACTATACTTAACCAGTCAATGAACCGATTTAATTATAACACACCTTTAATCCATATTCCCACATCCTAAATCTAGCCATTTCCCAAAAGCCCTACCTACAAGCATATGAGGCTTTGAGGGGACATCTAGATACAAGCCATAACATTCTGCCCCTAGCCCCCAAAAGACTCATGCACATCCCTATATGCAAAATGCATTTGGTCCATCTCAGAGTTTCCAAAGTTTTAACAGTTTCATCATTGCCGAAAAGTCCAAGTTCAAAGTATCCTCTGAGATTTAAGGCAAACTTTTAGCTATGACCCTTTGTACAAATGAAAAGAAAGTTAAACATCTCCAATATACAATGGTACAAGGTAACCATTCCCATTCCAAAAGGTACAGATAGGGGGATAGAAAGAATGAGAACAAAGCAAGACCAAAATCTAGTAGGGAAACATTAGATCTTTTCAAAGCAAAGTCTTTCATCTTTGCAATTTTGAGCCTGCAAAGAGTGTATCCTGTTGCTTCTTGTGATGCCCTCAGGCCATCTTTTCTGTTGTCCTCTTCTGAAATACTTTTTTTTTTGTACCGGGGATCTAACTCGGGTCCTTGCACTTGCGAGGCAGGCGGCGGAACCACTGAGCTAAATCCCCGGCCTTCTGAAATACTTTTTATTCTAATCTTTCCAGCAACCAAGTTCTCCTCTATTCCATTTTTGCAGGCTGTAACTTCACTGGAGCTTTCTCTCTGGCCAAACTCAAAACTATTTAAATCATTCTGCTGGGCCCTTTGCTATTGATTCTCTCTCTCTCTCTTTTTTTATTGATTCTCAACATAGATCTACTTAAAAGACCCCAAAAGTAGCCACACCACCACCCAACATTAGACTGCCTTGAAATTAATTTCTTTCTTTCTTTCTTTCTCTTTCTCTCTCTCTCTCTTTTTTTTTTGAACCGGGGATCGAACTTGGGTCCTTACACTTGTGCAGCAGGCAGTGAAACCACTGAGCTAAATCCCCAGCCCTGAAATTTCTTTCTTAAAATTAATCTGCCACACTTAGTCTCTTGAAAAGTCTCTGAGCAGGAGCAAAATGCAGACAAATTTTCTGCCAAAGCCTAATACACATGGTCTGGAGTCCAATAGCCAATTCAGTCCTTGTTCCTAACCAAATCCTCCCAAGCCTGGACTTTACCTACTGTATTTCTTTTTGGGGGGTGGTACTGGGGACCGAACTCAGGACCTTGTGCTTGCGAGGCAGGCATGGTGCCACTGAGCTAAATCCCCAGCTCTACCTACTGTATTTCTATCAGCATTCTGGTCTTTTGACCTCTCACCAGAGTTTCCCATCAAGGTCAGCTTGTAACATTCCTGGGCTGCTGCTTCAGCGGGCATCTCTAAACCTTTCCAAACTCTTCCCACAAGCCAGTTCCTGTGGCTTCTGAACCACATGGTCAGGTAATGTCACAGCAACGAATCCACTTCTCTGCTACCAAAACCTGTCTTAGTTACTTTCTTGTTGCTGGGACAAAATACTCAATTCTCACAAGTTAAAGGAGCAAAAGTTTATTTTAGCTCACAGTTTGTAGAGGTTTCAGTCTATAGTCAGCTGGCCCCAAGCTAGAGTGGCATGGAAAAAGGGCGTGACAAAGGAGAAACAATCCATGGTAGGATAGGCAGGAAGCAGAGAAGCAGTAACATCTGGCCTCCTTTTCTCTTTTATCTCATTTAGGTTACAAGCCTATTAGTTGTAATCTCACACCCAGGGTGAGATTTCCCATTATCCACAGACAGAACTATGCTAAATGAATCAGTGGGACTAATTTAATTATCACACCCTTAATATTCACACATCCTAGATCAAGATGTCTTCAAAAAGCCCCACGTATGAGTGCATGAGGTTTTGGGGAGACATCTAGAATAAGCCATAACAATGGAATAGTAGTAAAAATTTGAGTTTAATCATTTTGTGACTTTGGATATGCCTCATGACTTCCATAAGCCTCAATTTCTTCATCTCTGAAATGGAAATAATAATACCTGTGGTAAAATATGTTATTTATTTAATAGTTCTTGATACATGATACATGATATATGTGTGCTCAATAAGTGGTAGCTTACTGTTATGCCAGAATCTGCTAAGTAAAATATTTAATTAGTAAGAGTTGTGAAAATCACTTTGGAGATCTAGAAAAGTTTTTCTGTGTTGTTTATTTTTTGTGTTTTTGCATCAGTCATTGAAGATAATGTTTTATTTTTTATTCATTTTCTATGATGGTTTATATTACTATACAAATTGTTGAGATTTCTTATTTGACAGTTATTTTTGAAGTACAATAATTAACATTATTAAATTATCTTTTAAAAGCTTATTGAGAATGCTAAACATAAAAGAGAAAATGAACTAGTAGCTAAGAGAGAGAAACTGATTTTGGAAGTAGAAAAAGAATCACGTCGTATGGAAGAATTTACAGAATTTGCAGAACTGGAACGCATGCAACAGGTCTGATAAATATTCAAGATAGTATCTATAGCCAGCCTGTAGATTAATACAAGACACATTAACATAAATTTTAAAATATTAAAAAATAAATGCTTTCCATGCCAAACAAAGATTTACTTGGCTCTTAGGCTTGGAACTGGTGCTATTCACTCTATGTGATTTTCTTTTCCTGCCGTGCTGGGGATTGAGCCTATGATATGATGCATTCTGGGCAAGGGCTCCACCACTGAGCCACACCATCAGCCCTCTTATGTGATCTTTCTTGTGACTTTTCTAATTGCAGATATAACTATACATTATTCTCTAGCAGTATAATGTTGTGAAGTTAATATAATATTTAAAGTTGCTGTATAAATATAAGAATATACCTTATGCAGTATCATATAATCTTATTTTTATCATATACTTGGATATTTCTTGTGATAAAATTATTTGCATTCAGTATGTGACAGATGTAAGACAACTACAAAAACATATTCAGGAATCTGAAGAAGCAGTTCAGTTTATTAATAAAGAAGAGGAACTATTCAAATGGGAATTAACAAAATATCCTGAACTGGATAACTTAAAAAATAACATTGAACCCTATCAGAAGTTTTTTAATCTTGTTTTGAAGTGGCAGCGAGCAGAAAAACGGTAATTTCTGATAATATAATAACAAGCAAATATGTAAAGAACGGTTAAGATGTAAGTTGTTTTTTTAATTTCTTTTTGAGACAGGGTCTTACTGTGTTGTCCAGGCTGGCCTTGAACTCATGGCAGTCCTCCTGCCTCAGCCTCCTGAGTGCTGAGATTACAGGCATGTCACTATACTCAGCTCTATTTCTTCTAGTTAAGTGTTTAAAAGTAGGATTTATTCATTTGAGTGAAAATCAAGTATCATGTAGGATAAGCATCAAATAATACTAACATGCCACTTAACCTTATTATTATTTTTTATTGTTACTATTACTTTTGAATATATATAAATATATATATAAATATATAAATAGGCTGGGGATTGAGCCCTGGATCTTGCACACATGAGGCAGGCATTCTACTATTGAGCTATAACATCAGTCTTTAACCTTATAATTTCTAAAATATCTTTTGAGTTCTCCAAGTCAATTCATTTTTATGCAGTTTACTAGTTTGACTGATATTTATACCAAAAACTCGAAGTATGGGGTCAAACCTTCATTTCATTAGGATAGTGTTAGTTGCCCATTAGTAATCTGATATATATTTTAGCACGTGCAGTGTAGTTAAAATGATGATTATTTTCTGTGTCTCTTTTATAAGCTCTACTTGTATGACATAGAAAAGCAGTTAACTGCTCTTGCCATCAGTTATCTCTTTTACAGAAATGAGAGGTCTAGTCTTAAGGCTCTAAGTTCAAGTTTAGTACAATTTTTCTTTACTTTCAGGTGGATGGATGGAGGGTTTTTGGACCTCAATGGGGAAAGCATGGAAGCTGATGTAGATGAGTTTTCCCGAGAAATTTTCAAGACACTGAAATTTTTCCAAATGAAGCATAAAAAAGAATTACAAGAAAGAAGAAAGGCCACAAGAAAACGATCTGTGACAGAAGAGATACCTGAAGAAGAACCAAAAGAGAATCCTACAATTACTATGTGCAGTATAATAATGGAGCAAATAAAGGCTTTCAAGGTATAAACATATATTTGATGGTATTTTAATATTATATACATATTTTAAATTTTGTTATGTATTTTGTAAAATATAAAATCCGTCCTCTGATCTTGTGCTTTGTCGATAGCATCAGTATAGCTATGTGTAAAACAGACTGGCCAGCATCTAGTCAGTCTTATCATCACTGGGCATCTGACTCAAGATAAACTAATTCAAAAACATCCTCTCTTTGGCCATAATACAGTTCAGTGATACCTTGGTTGTCCAACTCAATTCATTCCAAATTTGTGCTTGAACACTGAAAAGTTTGAGAACTGAACATATTTTTCCCACAAGAAACAGTGGAAAAACAAATAATTGGTTCTGAGGTCCCAAAATTACACTTATAAAGTTCATTTTTCCAAGACTTTAACAAATTTTGCAATGATTTCTTTCTTTAATTCTATTGTGGTTCTCACAGTTTTCCTCTTAGCTTTACTGCTGGTATCACTAACTTTCTTTGGAGTCATGGTTATGATATTTTACACAAATAAAGCACACACACACATACACGACAATGACAAATGTTTTAACGCACTAACCTATGCACTGTATGTTGTCTGGGCAAGAACAGCACTTAGACTGAAGCATCACCCCTTTATGTCCGTGGTGAGATGTGACACCTGCCTCACTCTTGGCCCATACAGGTTTTTTCAAGTCAGAGTTTTTTGTTCAACTATTGAGCAAAGTTACAAACACCAAGCAGATTTTTTTCAAACTTTTCTGTTCAAGTAGTGGAAAGTTCGAGTGTGGAGCCATTTGACAACTGAAGTATCACTATAATTAGTTCTGAGATAAGTCTAAAACCCAAATGGGCCAGAGTTCTCTTTGAAAAAAATTTTTTTATTGGTACATGTTTGTAGTACATAATGATTATTTTCCTCATGGGGAGTTGGTACATGTACATGACATTTCTTGATTCTTTTTTAAACACCCCCCTTCCCTTTCTTTCCCCTCCTTACATCTCTTGGGATCTCTCTCTCTCTCTCTCTCTCTCTCCATATCTATATCTATATCTATATACATATGCATATACATATATGTATACGTGTATATATACATATATATACGTATATATGTATATATATACGTGTATATATATCCACTTTATCTGAAATTAGGATAGCTGCTCCTGTTTTTTTCTGGGTTCCTATGGCATGGGATATTGTGGTCCATCCTTTGACTTTTAATCTGTGAATTTCTTTTTGAGTTAAATGTGTTTCTTGTATACTACATATTATTGGGTTTTTTTCTTGAATTGTTCTGCCAATCTGTGTTACTTGATTTGAGATTTGAGATCATTCACTTTGAGTTATTACTGAACGATATTGGCGTATTCCTATCATTGCATTGTTTTGTTGCTGATTTTCTTATATTTTTTCATTGTTTAGCTGCTCATCCTACCAGGCGTGTTCATTCTCTTTGTCTTATTGGCATTGTTGTCTCTTTCTAGGATATCCTTGAGAATTTTTTTGTAATGCTGGTTTGCTGGTCATGATTTCTCAAGGTGCTCCTTGTCATATGAATACCTTATTTCTCTGTTGATTTTAAAGGAACGTTTTGCAAAATGCATATGCTGGGGTTGGAAGTTATTACCTTTTAGGCTGAAAACATTTCATTCCAAACCCTCCTGGCCAGGTTTGTGTGGAGAAGTCTGATGTAATCCTAATAGGTTTCCCCCCTCCTGAACAACTGATGGGTCACAGATGAAATTAAAGAAGAAATCAGACAGTTTCTACAATTAAGCAATAATGACAATACAACATACCGGAACTTATGGGACACAATGAAAGCAGTCCTGTAAGGGATATTTATAGGGGTAAATACCCATATCAGGAAAGCAGCAGGCTCAAATAAACAACCTAATGTTGAATCTCAAGCTTCCAGAAAAAGAAGAGTAAATCAAGCCCAAAGATCATAAGGAGGAAGGAAATTGTACAAATCAGAACAGAAATTAATGTGATAAAGAATAAAAAAAAATACAAAGAATCAATGAATTGAAGAGTTGGTTCTTTGAAAGATTAAATAAAATTTACAGACCTTTAGCTAGCCTCATCAAAAAAGGAAAGACTCCAGTCACGCAGAAGATGCTGAATCACCCACTGCAGACAGGCAGGTCTGCCCATACCCTACCGAGGTCCCCAGTCCCGCGGAACACGCCGAATCAGCCCGCTGCAGACAGGCAGGTCTGTGCACCCCCTACCGAGGTCCTGAGTCACGCGGAAGACACCAAATCACCCCACTGCAGACAGGCAGCCACCTGATTTCACATTACCAAGGCGCAGAGGACACCAGACCACCAGACCAAGGTACTGAGTCCCACTGTTCCCGGCCCAGAGGTAGGGGCTTCC